TGATCTTTGTTATCAAATTTTTTTAATTTAAACTATGAACGAGCATCCTTATAGGTGGACTCCCATCCAATAAGTAATGATGCCCGTCCATTTCAAATGAACGACGGTCCAATAAAAATGGACGACCGTCCATATTTGATGGACGACCATTCATTCGCGAAATATTTCTTAACGTGCTACGTGGCTCGTCTGACTCAGGTGACACGTCGTTCGGTTTAACACTTCGATACAAAGCGTCGGTGTCCGCAGCATTATTGTTCCAAAAATGTATCAAACAACTATTCAACATTTTATCCGGATAAAATTTTAAGATATTATACCAAACAAATTCTTATAATCTTATCCTATTCGATTTAATCCAATTTAATTCAACTTAAAATAATTTTTTAGAATAACATTTTTCAAATAATCTACCAGACCCCAAAATTAAATACAAGGTAATTTTATAAAATTCAAAGTTACTAATGTCAATATTTTATAAAAAAAAAAATTCTGAATGTCATTTTTTTTAAACATTTGGAATATTAAATTAGAGTTAATTTTTTATTTTTTTTTTATCATTAAAAGTCTTAAATTATACCATTCGGTATTTTGATTTGATTATCACTGGTATATTACAACTAGACATGGGGCTTGCGGGTTACGTAAGTATGTTTATTTAATGTTTTTGAAATAGATTGTAAATAAATTTATTCTAACAAAATAAACTAATTAGATTAAGACATAATAATTGTTAAATTATACAAATTTTAAAGTAAATATAAATTGTATATACATACAAAGTTGTATTAAGATAAAATTAATAATTATACCTATATAATTATTAATATCAATTATAGGTAGATGTTATTAAATCATTCATCAAACTTCAGAAAATCACCTGAATATTATATGGTCTAATTATATTTTCAAGATCATCACCTTGTACAATTGATATTATCTATACAGACATATCTTTGATATTCGATGTCAGTATTTTATAGTGAATCGTGTATAATATTTAATATCATCTTAATATTATCAAGATCAACTATTTAAACTTAAAATATATATTGACTTTCTGCAATTTCTATAACTTATATTCATTTTCAAGTTGCATTACGCGGACATGTTTATTATATTTTTTTTACATTATTATTGGTTTTTTTGTGTTTTAAATATATATTTTCTATATTGAAGTTCATATTATATTGAATTGATGATTAAAAAATCAATAAATAAAATATCCACAAATTGACCTCGAAGTCTATATCATCATGGTTCTTCTCAAATATGTCACCATTTGATATTTGCAACCAAAGTTTAAAACTTTATCAAGAAAAGTAAAAAAATTTGCAAGATAACCCATTGGGTATTATTGATAAGTCTATAAATCAATCAGAGAAAGAGAAACCTTGTTAAAAAATGTGAACTTTTTAGCAAGAGACTTGCAGAGCCAAAGGAAAAAACTAATTTTGACTGTTGAGAAGAGAAAGTGAATTATTTTTATTATTATTATTTTAGAAATAAAAAAAAAATTAAGAATGTTGAAAAGAGAACTCACATAGAAAGTAACAACAACTCTAACAGTATAATATGAAGGCAACTTAATTGAAGCATTGAAGAAACCATGAAGATAAAGGTCCTTGACAAATTTATTTGCTGCAAATAGAATTGACCACCACATATAACCAAAAAAGCATTGGATGATAGCATCATAAAGAAAGAAGATAATCGTAAAACCCACAAAACCCACAAACCAAACAAAAAATCAATTCAAAAATCAACAAAAAGAGATAGAACAAGTACAATTAAAACTACGTATCAATATTTATTTTATTTTGTCATCACTAAAATTGAATTTGTTTTATGTGTGGGACGATAAAATGAATGGTTCGGTAGCAGGTTTATAGTTATCTAAATTCATCATATCATATATCAAATTAAAGCTCAATCTTTCTAATTTCCAAATATTAAACCGCTCATCAATTGGATTTTTATTGAGCACGTTATGACTAATTTACTACTAACTATTCAGTAAAAATCGAGAAATAGGGAAAACTAAAATGTATGTAATGATAAAAGGAATAGTTCGACAGTGGGGCTATAATTATCCAATTTAAGCGTATAATTTATCAAATTAAAGCCTTGCCTATCTAGTTTTTAATGATTCAAATCTCTCATCAATTGGATTTTTATTAAGCAAGTTATGATCAATTTACTACTGATTGTTCAGTGAAAACCTAAACGTGTGTGATGATAAAATGAATGGTTTACTAAAGCTACATGATTCAGCATCAAACATCAGTTGATATTTGTTAAATAAATGAAATTAGTTATATTCAGCAACAACCTCTTTTCATGATATATGTATGTAACATAAAAAGATATCAACAAAAAGAGATAGAACAATTACAATTAAAACTACATATCAATATTTGTTTTCCTTTAAGGATAATAATAATGGTTCGGCATATTACAAATGGTTTACTGAAACTATATGGTTCGACAACAAACATCAAATGATATTTGTGATACAAATAAAATTTGTTATATTCAATAACAATCTGTTTTTGATATATGTATGTAACATAAAAAAATATCAACAAAAAGAGATATAACAAATACAATTAAAACTACATATCAATCTTTGTTTCCTTTGTCATCACTAAAATTGAATTAGTTTTATATGTGTGGGGATAAAATAAATGGTTCAGCCGCAGGTCTATAGTTATCGAAATTCATCGTATAATATATCAAATTAAAGCTTTATCTTTCTAGTTTTTAAAGATTCAAACCGCTCATCAATTGGATTTTTATTGAGTAAGTTATAACCAATTTACTACTTATTGTTTAGTGGAAATCGAGAAACAAGGGAAACCAAAATGTATGTGAAGATAAAATGAATGGTTTGGAAGTAAGGCTAAATTTATCCAAATTAAACGTATAATATATCAAATTAAAGCTCTATCTTTCTAGTTTCTAGAGATTCAAACCTCTCATCAATTAGAGTAAATTTACTACTGATTGTTCAGTGGAAACTAAAATGCATGTGACGATAAAATGAATGGTTTACTTAACCCAAATTTAAGGGATTATCATATTAGGACTGATAAGAAATATTTCAAATAACACCTATTAATTGGAAAACAGAATCAGCCAAAATTAATTCATTTAATATATATATTCGCACATCAGTAGGACATAAACAATTAATCATTCATATAACAAATTAAAATACATGAATGTTTTTACAGAAAACATATTCAACACAAATGAATTGTTTTTACTAATATAGATATGACACATACTCACAGTTCGGCTGACAATAGGATCATTCTCGATTTGATCTTAGTAAAGTACATGAGCATTTCCTTGAAAACAAACATAACAAAATTTAATTGATCTTCATGTTAAGATTATTAAGAAATAATTATTCATTCGTATAACAATTGTTACTTGAAAACGAAATCAACAAAAGTTAATTAATTTTCATATTAAAATTGTTAAGGAATACACTTACCGTTCGACATGACTAACATAATTAATCATTCAAATAGATAGACCAAATAAAAACAATTATTCAATCAAATAATAATCGTTAAAATAGTTAGGAGATGTACTTATGATTTCGTATTAAAAATAGTTAGAAGATATACTTACAGTTCAGAAGAACGAATCAAAATAACAACTCATTTGAAAATGTCAATTGGACATCCTGCCTTTATTCTATGTCAATTCATGAATCTTTGACCTGTAAACAACAACAAAGACATAAATAAATAAAAAACCATCAATTAACAAAATCATGAAGAATATGTGTATTATTGACACAAACTAACATGACCTATAAACAATTAACAAAAGACCAGACATATTGTTGACACCAACTAACATATTATGATAATATACAATTGAACATACACCCATTTTATAACCCCTTATTTAGACTTTTTGAATACCAACACAATTAAATATGAAAAAAAGTTTGCAATGTCAATACAATGCACATATATAATTATTAATAGCAATCATAAACATATGTAATTAAACCAGAATTATTAATAGCAATCCAATGCATCTGTATACTTGTTATTAATGCACATCCAACCCGTTAAAATAGTTACAGCTTTGGAATGCCAATGCAATGCACCTATATTATTGTTATTGGAATATCAATGCAGTGCATTAATATCTCATTAAACCATATATCCAACTTTGAAATACCAATGCAGCAATTAATATTGTCTATATCGTCACCAATAAAATTCAACCAGATGGCAATCACAAATCTAAAGTGTCGTTATAGTTAGACATTTGAAATGTTAATTCAATACACCTATATAATTAGTATTATTATTAATTTTTAATACATTTTTTATTAATTATTAATACAAATTCAACATGTGAAGATAGAACAATAAATACAAACTCAATGTGTCAAGATGAAGCAATTTGATTGGGCTCATTAAACCACAAATGCTAGTTGTTAATCAAATGTGTTAAAATGGAACAATTTTAGAGCTTCCAAAATGTGCCACGTGTCGATCAACCAAGATGGATATTCAGCTTTATATATATATATATATAGAGAGAGAGAGAGAGAGAGAGAGAGAGAGAGAAGAAAGTTTTCCAATGTCAATACAATGCACTTATATAATTATAGATAGCAATCCTGGAAAGATGTCATTAAACCACAATTAGTAATAGCAATCCAATACACCTATATACTTGTTATTAATGCATATCTTTGAAATGTCAATGCAATGCACCTGTATTATTATTATTAATTATTAATACAGATCCCCTTTTTTAATTAATTAATAATTATATATGAAACAATAAATATCAATCCAACATGTCAAGAGAGTACAATTTAATTGGTTTGTCAATCCAATTTGTCAAAATTGAGCAATTCTAGAGCTTACAAAATGTGTTACGTGTCGATCAATCAAGACAGGTATTCATTATATATATATATATAGAGAGAGAGAGAGAGAGAGAGAGAGAGAGNTTAAAGTTGGTTCAGAGTCTGGTTTCATAGGGGCACAATCTAATTCCAGTTTGGATTGTTTGCATAATGAGAAAAAGAAGAAGAGGCTGAAGAAGAAAAAGAGGCTTAATGCTCCAAAAACTGATTATATAGATGTTAATCTTCAGGAAGTTACTTCTGAAACAATTACTGCTTCCTTAGGAACAGAAGCTTCTGTAGATGTGAGCGTAAAGAAGGTTCCTGAAACTGCAACCGGTGAAGTAGAGGGTATGTTTGATACAAGCACAAAGATGGAGTTGGTGGCTACTCCTGTTATAATAGGCCCGATGAATTTGAGTCGTCTGCTGAGAAAGAGGATGAGAAAAAAGAAAAAGAAGGAGAATCTTAATGATTCTGTGACAACAGATATGTTTCCAGAAAGGGATTCATCTTTACAGCTGCCAGTCAACATATGCTCAAGCAATGTCTCAGTGGAGAAACAACCTAATGAGGATTTCAGTTTGTGTCTGGAAAAGAATGAGAGTAATAAGCAGAATGATGGTCAGAAGGCCTCTGAAAATTGTAGTCCAGCTAATCTACAAATGGCTAATGCTGAGCATTTTGGAAAAGAGGATGTGAAAATTGCTCCAGGAGAGTTGGATTTGGCTTCAATGAAGGGAGATTTACGCCTCTCTAGAAATCAAAGTGATTCTCTGAAAAGTACAAATTTGATGGGGAAACAAGATCTTCCTTCTGAGAATGATATTGTTTCTCGTGAACGAAGCGATGCTAAGACCTATCATAGGAAGAGAAAGAGAAAATCCTCTAAGTCTTCGGTTAATAGTTCAGACTGCATAAAGGATGGTAGAAGAGATACTTTATTTGACCATTCAGAAGAAGCCCATACAGTTGACCTAATAGAGAATAAGTTAGATAGAGTAATAGAAGTGGAGAATGCTGCCCCAGCACACGTCTTGGGAGATATTGAGATGAAGGAAGCCTCTGTTAACAGTTTAGAGGGTCAACCTGCATGCAAGGATAGTGAGAAAAAAATGAAAATGAAGAATTTGCAAAAGGTTGTTACTGAAGATAGTTTAATGAAGAATGTGTCTGTGCTACTTGAAGAGCATCTTCAAGAGAAAAACATAGAGAAGGCAGGTGAGATCCAGATTAAAGTGCAGACTGCATCTTGTAAGGATGGTGGTTCTGTTGAAAGTTCATCTGGTTCCAAAGAAAAAACTTCTGATAATATATCTGATCATGATACTTTCTGCAAGCATCTAAAGCCGAAGAATGTGAAGTTAGAGACCAAGACCAAAGAAATAGCTCCTTCATCACATATGGTTGTAATAAAAGATGATTGTTCAGTAAATGAAACTAATAAAGAAGACAATAGTCAACATTCATCTCACTCTATTCCAATAAGAGCATGTATTGGCCATTCTAAAAAGAAGCTTCTTGTACTTGATATAAATGGAATTCTTGCAGCCATTACTCAACACCCTGTTGGTAAGGGATGGAAGCCAGACTATGTAGCATCACGGAAAGCAGGTGAAATTTGAAATTAAGTAGTTGTTCTAGTTGACATGTTTAAATCAGTTTTAATATTATGTCATTCATTAACTCTAACATGATTTTTTTGTGTCTTTCCAGTGTTTAAGAGGCCACATTGTCGCGACTTTCTCCTATTTTGCTTTGAGAGATTCAATGTGGGAATTTGGACCTCAAGAATCAAGTATTCTTCAATCTGTGACTGATTGTAGTTATTCCTCCATTTACTTTTTCGTAGTATGAGTTTTTCTTTCAAAAGTATTTCCTTGCACTTTTTCTACCGAAAATAAGCAATGGTTTATAATCCACAACATGCCTTTAGTATGTTTCTCAATGTCTTGTAGGAGGAATGTTGAGAGAGCAGTTCAATTTCTTCTGGGTGATTTCAAACATCGTTTGCTTTTCTGTTGGGTAATCCATTTTATCATCTCTTCTTATGGCCTGCTATGATCTAAATGTCACCAATTACCAGTGACAAAACTCAAGTGTGTGTTATAATAAAAAAAAAATAAAAAGCATATATGCATTTAGTGAGAACATACTTTTATTTCCCGTCAGTTACAGTCAGAATATCTCAAAGGACCCAAACTAGGAAATCCAACTCTATATGTAGTATTTCTGTAAATTGTGTATGTCCCTCCTATGCCACTCTCATAAACTTTTGTTGCTTTCCTCTCTCTTTTTCAATTTATGTACGTGTGCATGCATTTGCTTTGGGGTTGGGGCAATACTTTCATGTGACCCTAAAACTCAACATAATTTAATCAGCTTGTACTGCTTCACTATTGACAGTATCTGATAGTATGTCTATGGTTCTATAACATCACTATTTAATAGATTCTGTAGTATTTCGGGTTTTTCCTTCTGAAGATGCTTTCAAAAGAGGAAAATGGTAGATACTTTTGGGTTTAAATTAAAAGATCATTGTCTCAATCAATATAAGACACTTTCAGTTTTAATAGGCTGGTTTCATTCACTTTAAACTAGTGCTTCAGTGTATTTCCGTGTAATTATGGTGTTTTTCGAGGACATCTTCTGAATATGATGTTACTTTGATATCTGCGGTTCTTTTTTCTTTTTTTTTTTTTTTTATTCTGCTGCATTCATAATAACAATTATCTAGCCAACCACATTTGAGTTCCTTTAATAGCTGATGAATCTCTACGTGCAGGATGCATCCCACTGTAGTAAAACAGGGCTTACTGCAATTGAGAATAAGAATAAACCCCTGGTTCTCAAGGAGTTAAAAAAGTTGTGGGTGAAAGCCGAGCCTGGGCTTCCATGGAGAAAGGGCGAGTATAAGGAAACAAACACTTTGTTGGTGGATGATTCACCATATAAGGCCCTATGCAATCCAGTTAGTATCAAACTACATTTCTGCTATCTCATTTGAGCTATCACTTGTTTAAAACTTTAATTATATTCTAATTATGATGCTAATCTTCTATTTATCACTTCTTGTTTAGGCTTACACTGCAATATTTCCCTATTCATACCAGTACTGGCATACTAAAGATAAATCATTAGGTGAGCCATTATCAAACGTTAATGTAGTGTTTTCTGCTTTTTAAAATATGCGGTATACCAACTGGTAGATCACTTTACGGGCTTTAGCCGAATTGACAACAGGAAGAAAGGATAGCCAGTTGGGATTCATCTTGCTTATGTTTCTTTAAGTTGAACTTTGCCCCTTGTGCATATCTTCTCTTATCGTCATTTGTTATATTGCATTTGGTCTCCAGTTATGGAGTGACAATTCTATTGGTTTGCTGTGACTTGCATTATTTTCTATTATTGCAGTTGCTTAAATCTTATTCAAGTTCATGCATTTCCTTATCTGCAATTTTTTTTATTGTGTATTTTTGGCTACTATGCCTACTGATATGAGCACTAATATGTTTCACAACAGGACCTGGTGGTGATATTCGGGAATATCTGGAACGGTTATCTCATGCTGAGAATGTTCAAGAATTTGTTAGACAAAATCCATTTGGTCAACCACCTATTAATGAATCAAATCCACATTGGAGTTACTATAGTCAGGTATTCTGCACCATGTCAAGCCCATCTCATAACGTTGGCAATACTTCCCTTGTTAATACCAATGAAGCATGAAGATCACCAAATACCCCAGCAAACACTTTCCCAAATTGTTTCTGATCCCCAGTGACAATAATCAAGCTACTTCTACCAGTTACCCAAAAAAAAAAAAAAAAAAATAATAATAATAATAATAAATAATCAAGCTATTTCTAGGATATTCTGTGATGTAGCAAACTAATCCAGGATATTCACCATAGCCGGCAATTTTAAGGAGAATACAGAAACTCACTGAGATTGATTGATTATTTAAGTTTTTTATCACATTGGATTTGCTTTTGGTCCAATAACCATAGGTGAAATTGTACCGGGTGGCATCCACCCGGAGATGAATACATTCTTGTTGTCACAGAGCCCTTGATTCTGAATTTTTATCACACGTTCTTTATTGTTTAAAGTAATACACTGATTTTTCTTCACAAATGTTGTGAGCAAAGAGCTCAGATGGAGTTGTATCATTTTGTTTGATTTGCCTCCAAGTGTTTTACTAACAAGATAAAAGTTTTTGGTTGTGGTTTAATCTTCTCTACACTCGCTTTCCAATCATGCAGTACACAAGGTTTTGATGTGACAATAGAAATTTCTTGTTTAATCTTTGATAGGAACCCATTCTCAAATTAATAAGAATTGGGTTGGGAAGTGGGTTTTTGATAGAAATTGGGTTGGACAGTGGTCTCTTTATAGGTTTGGATAGAATTCTCTTTGAAAAATTGGTTTGTCAAGAAAGGGTGTCCACGCCTTGATAAACCACATGTCCGCAGCTTTTTCCTCAATGTAGGATCCTAACATTTTCAATTATGATTTAAGATATTGTTTGTTCTTCAGCTTCTTTCATAGTAATTGCCTTTGTTTCGTACATATGAAGCACATATGAATTGTTTCATAAAAGTCTGTCATGAAAAATGCTTGTGGGTCTGAAAGCAAATAAGATGCTAGTATAGTAACACTGTGTTGCATGATACCAAAAAGAATAGAAGGAAAAAATAGTAGTCTAATGAATTTTTTTTGGCATGGATATCTTAAAGTTTTTAAAAACAAATTAAAGGTCAACGATTAGTCGTCTTTAATTTCGCATTTTGTGAAATCATTAATCTTTGATACACATGGTAACAACTTCAACACCTTTGTAGATTATTAAAGTAATTTCAATGAGAAGATTATGGACACCATTCGACGACAATTATGTTGGGGTTTTTGGAGAGAGAGAGTGCCGATGAGTCTAAAGGTGGTGAAGGGAGTGATTTTGGTGAGTGAATTGCTGGAAAAGGCAAAACTCAATCGGCTAAAACAACAGCCTGTTGTCGGCGATTGGTTAATCAAACGGGGGAGGGGTGAGATGGGTTTTGCTCAGGAGGCTGAGGGAAGTGTTTTCATGGTGATGGGGAGTGTTGTCGTCGTCGGAAACATGCTCTATTTGGCTTGGACTGTTGATGTCGACGGTAGTGTTTGGGGTGTTTTACAAGATTTCAAATCTATAAGGACTTATAGTTTTTAAGGGTATTTTTATTGAATTTCAAACCTTGAGACACCGGTTTGACCTATCGGTTCAATCGATCAACCTAGAACTGGTCACTTTGTCGGGTTTCACCCTGGCTTAGTTATTAAAACATAAGTCCATATAATGATGTAATTGGTGAATATTGTTTTGCATGTTGAAAGATAGTCGTGCACAAAACTATATTTTTAAGTTATACCTAAAATAGTATATCTTCAGTATTTTTAATATTTCAAATTGGAAATCAGGTAATCCCTTTCTCCCTCTTTATGATCTGCTTGTGCAGAGTGTTGTAGACAACATTAATGGTGAATTTAGAGCACCTACTGTCAATCGGTTGCTTGTAGTAGTCAATAGTTAATGCTACATTGATTCTTCTCCTTTTTCTCTATTTTCTATTCCCTCTAGAATGACTTAACTACAGTCTCAAGCAAACTTTAGCCCTGCATGGCATCATATCAGCTGGCAAAAATAATGGAAGTCAAAGTAGCAAACCATAGTTTGGTCCATGAAATCCGCTTATTGCTCTGCCATATTCTTCACTGTCACCATCATCTTCTTCATTGAACTAGTTGGTATATGTTGAGTGTTTGAAAGTAACTTTTGTGACCCAACCACACTCTTTACACACCCCAATAATAACAATGCTACAAATACAGTAAAACCTTTCTATAGTCATAATGTTGGGATTAACTAATTTTATTACTATAAAGAGGTTATAACTTAATGGAGGTGTAGTTACAAAAATTATAGTTTTGATTTCTTATTTTATAATTCATGTTTTAATAGTATAGTATTAGGATTTCAATTCATATTTTTGTAATATTAGGATTTCAATACAGCGTTTCAATTACTTACTTTTAAAACAGATAAAAGATCGTTTCTTAGAACTAGAAAAAAAAATGACATTGATGGAACTGTAAATACAGTTAATGCATGGTCAATTAATGTGAAGCCACAGACAAATGTCAATAGTTTTAAGCGCTACAAAATTAGGACCACTAATGTTAATGAATTGTAAGTTACAAATGAAGTAGATGAGAAGAATAAAAGAGTCACTATAAAATTGAATGATTAGATTCGACAAATTCATTACACAAATTGAATAGATATTAATGTCTTCTTTGATTATCCAAATGAACAACAAATCGTGTATACTTTAACCAAATGAGAAATCATTGTTGCAATTAGACAAGAAGAGAAAGAAAATAATCATAAGGATAATAATACAGAAATACAAAAAGTCTTGTGCCATGAAACTCTAAACATGTTTAAGAAACTAAAAATATTTTGGCTTCAACAAGAAGATATCCATGCTAACAAGCTATTATGTACTTGTAAGGTAAAATATGTGATAACAATTTTAAAACATAAATCATTGTCCCAAACAATTTTAAATAAATATTTTATTTCATTTTAAACTTTTAATTTTACATAACATATATAATTTTTTTTTTTGTAATATATATATAATTATTACTATGTAGAGGCAACTTTCCTTAAGGCGGGAATTAGAAAAATTATAACTTATTACAATGCAGAGTTTATTCTTATTTATAACTATCCCAAATTTGGACTAAAATTTTTTATGACTATGTAGAGTATATTCCTATATAGAGTATCACTATAGAAATGTTTTACTGTACAAACTAATATTGACACCACTCCTTCAATACATATATGTGCATTATAATAGTTCAACAACTTTTCTCCTTTTAACCCCAAGAAGTTGGCTTGGCAATCAAGGAGGTTTGCTCTCTTTCTTGAGTTCTTGGGTTCAAACATTGAGACCCTTTACCACAATAACATTGTGGTTTGTTTTATTTTTTGGGCTTGTAAGGTGTTCAATGGACTTCGGGGATTAGTTAAGATACACGTAAGCTGGCCCAGACACCTTAGTTACCAAAAAAAAAAAACTTCTCTCTTTACATGCCCATATGAATAAAATGAATAATAATCTAATATAAAACATACAAACTAATACCAACACCATTCTTCAAATACATATTTACATTATAATAGTCCTAAAGTCCATCAACTAGGCAAAATATGAGACAAATTAAACTTTTAATCCGCCATCACCTACAAACATGACTGTGATACCACAATAAATGTGTGTGAGTAAAACTCACTTCCAAAAAGCTAATTCAATGGAAGAGAGTGTCCACTGTTCAATCACATATATACATCATAACAGCTTAACAACTCAATGATGCAAAATAAATTCAACTTCAAAATGAGTTTGTATTATATTTAGACACCCTTATAATTTGAGCTAGATCTCATGTGCAGTTGCCCTGTATTGTATGTTTGTAGGAAGGAGAAGATACCAATTATACAAGTTTCCATGTGCCTTAACCTATTTTAGAGGGTAGTTATGATCATGCCTTAATAGTTTAAAAAATTTCACAGCTCAAAGGGCCCACCAGGACATATTTTTGGCCCACCATAATAACTAACAAAAATAGAATGCTTGGGCCCCTTTACAGCTAAGAGAAAAGCCCATTAAACTCTAGTAATTGAGGAAGATAATTAAGGTATGGTTGTTAGGCACTTGATTCATTAATTCATGAAATGGGTTTGTTTAATTATCAAACCCCTTTGGAGGCATGTGCCCTTAGATGCTTTTAGATTTTGATAACCTGGCAATTTGATTGCATGACTTGGCTTTACCCAATTCTTCAAGAAACCCTAATTCAATTTCCTAACCCCCCCATTGATTCATATGTTAAACCCTTTTGACATTGTATTGACCAAAGCCAACTTTCTTCAATTTCATTGGTGAAAGATGATTACACTAATCTTCCATTCAATTACTTAAAACATAATCATTAACACTTTAAGGATACATCATTAGTGGGATTAATTATATAGTTTACAACTCGGTAGCTTTTCACTTCAACAATCACTTTCCTTGTTTCCCAAGCTTGTATTTACAAGAAACTTAATTGGGAAGAAACCCAAATTTTTTCATCTTCACTCAATCCTGAAAACATTATTGATTGGATAAACTTTCAAAAGGGGTGGGTTTGATCCCACTCACTCATTGATGTGTACAAATAATGATTTGGGTGGGGGAGGGAGATGGGCATGAATTTGTGTTAAAAAGAAAGGCATACTGTGGCAATCAAGGAAGGTGAAATTTAATGGAAAGAGTGGATATTATTTGGTTTCTTCGAATATGGTTTATGATGATTGAGATATGTTTGTTGGTTTTGCCTAATGGAGTTGAAGCATACCACATGTTTATTATTTTTGCATGTGGGCGTACATCTTCCTCAATCCCCATCACCTTTTTAANCCTTGTTTCCCAAGCTTGTATTTACAAGAAACTTAATTGGGAAGAAACCCAAATTTTTTCATCTTCACTCAATCCTGAAAACATTATTGATTGGATAAACTTTCAAAAGGGTTGGGTTTGATCCCACTCACTCATTGATGTGTACAAATAATGATTTGGGTGGGGGAGGGAGATGGGCATGAATTTGTGTTAAAAAGAAAGGCATACTGTGGCAATCAAGGAAGGTGAAATTTAATGGAAAGAGTGGATATTATTTGGTTTCTTCGAATATGGTTTATGATGATTGAGATATGTTTGTTGGTTTTGCCTAATGGAGTTGAAGCATACCACATGTTTATTATTTTTGCATGTGGGCGTACATCTTCCTCAATCCCCATCACCTTTTTAACCACTTCAACCTATACGGAGATCATCCACTCTTGCCTTTTCCTCCCTTCCTTTTTTTATTCTAGTGACCAAGGGTGTTCGGTTTAGCTTGTGCACACATCAACTAATCCCCTAAAATCCTAAAGTTGATAGTTGGGTAGATCTCTGGTGTGACCACCCTATTAATAATCCAAGTGGATCAAACTCAAAACTTCTTGAGTAATATACCCAAGAGTCTT